AAATATATATATATATATATATATATATATATATATATTCCTTTGTACATATTGTAATATGTATATAATATACCAAGTCATTTAATTATTTACATCTTTTATATCTTTTCATATCTTTTTATCTTGTATTTAAAAAAAATATATATATTTCATAAATCAAAGAGTTTATATTTAAATTGTAAATGAATTTTCTTATTTCTTGTTAGCTGAGATGGGAAATGTAGTTAACGCATAAATAACGATAGCGCTAGAACGATAATAACACGAGAACTTATAAGACATAATACATAAATGACATGTTTGTTGCTAATTAGAGGAATTAATGCTATCATGTATTACACAACATGGCGTGAGTCGTAACACCTTGAGAATCGTAATAAGGCGCTTTATTATTTCACTCGAGAATATCTAAGGTGTTCCTTCCTTCTCTCGAGTGGCATACTATACATAAAATCCACCATTACTCATGTTACAACTTGAAATATAAATAAACTACTTGATGTCATTGCACTACGTTCTCTTCGAGTCGTTGCTGTTTGTGGATATATTTACATCTTTTTCTCCGTTCCCTCTGTCAAAACGATAACACTACGAGTTCACGCTGTTAGTCGCGTACCTCTTATCAGAGGTAATTAATAAGTTATTAGTAGCGATGCGAGAGAATTGCGATACCGCTGGCGCAAAGAGCCAATCACGCGATATCGGTTATAGCCGCGCCGTGTGCGAGTGCCATGTGCTAAAACGAGTTACGCTAAAAAGCGTTAATTCCGCGCTGACCGTCGGTCGTCGGCATCGATTATCGAAAGCGCACCTCTTTGTGTCCCGTTTGAGCAAAGTGGTACGCGCTTTTTTATTATTTGCGCCAGGCGCTTTTCGCGAGTATCGCGGCAACCGACGTGACTCGCCGTTTTCATTTCCGCAGAGGTGCCGTTGACCAACCGCGTAAGAATAATGCATCGATTCCGTTCGAACGCCCGTTTACACACACACACACACACACACACACACACACACACACACACACACACACACACACACACACACACACACACACACACACACACACACACACACACACACACACACACACACACATATATATATATAT